GGGAAGAAGGAGGGGTATGGGGGCTACAGTGTCTGGCACACCTCTTGGGTAGTAGACACAACTACTAGAGGGACTTTATCTAACAACCACAATCGGTGTAACTTAATTCTTTGTACCCTCAGTGAATCCCAAACAATAAAAAAAAGATAAATTTAAAAAAATAAGTAGAAGCCAAGTGATTGCTATATGTGATAATAAAGTAATGTAAAGGACATTGGAAAGTGAGAAGGGTGAGGGATAAAAACTTACCTATCAGGTACCGTGCATGCTATCCTGGTGACAGGCACACTAAAAGCCCTACCTTCAGCATTATACAATCCATTCGTGTAACAAAAACAATTGTACCCCCTTAATATTTTGGATGTTAAAAAAAAAAAGGGAAGAAAAGCAAACCATCTTTCAATGCCACCCAGCCCCTTGGTCCCAAAATAGAGAGCTGTAGAAGCACAAATGAACTTCATAAATCAACTTCAACTCCAGAGTTGACAGGAGAAGTAATACCTCAGAGAAGAGTTAGGTTTCAGTTAAGGTGATGTTTGTAGAACCCTTATTATGGAGAATGTAAGTACTTTTCACAAGTAAGAATTTCAGAGTCCAGTGAATGCTTGACTTGGGGATTATTAAGAGAAAGATGGAATTGCTGTCTCAGGAAGAGATAGCTTATTCAATGTGGGTAGGAATCAGAAGGTAGTCGTGGATTGCTGAACAGGTATAGTGATGATACTTCGACAAGGAATTTACCCTTCATTGGTCCAGCCAAAAGCTAGCTCTGGCAGCCCTGAAAGCCCTCTCATCTCTTCTCCTTTCTCCATGGAAGGACTCGTCATGATTTGCTTTTCCTAGGGAAATTGTTTTTAATACAGTAACAGCAGATAATTACTTCTTCTAACCATGTGAATATAAAATTAGAACTATAATCTCTGCTTATACCCCTTACTACACACAATATGGTGATAGACATGAATAAAGGCATTGTAAACTGATTTCCTATTGAGAAATTAAAACTAAAGTGAAAAATTATTTTTAAAGGCACAGGGTTAAAACTCTAGTTTTGGTATACAGTGGTATGGGAACATAGTAAGTGTGTGTGTGCTAATAGACAGTCCTTTCAGGAGTATAATAAATCCATATTCTAGGTTATGAGTCAATAAAAATTAAAAATACATGCTTGAATCATTCTCAGGAATAGAAAAACAAACACCACATGTTCTCATTACAAAGTAGTAGCGAAATGGTTGGTATACATGGTTGTAAAGTGCTTAAAGGACATTGGAAACTAAGAAGGGTGAGTCAATTCCTTTTTGCAAAATTTCATACTGGAAATAAAAAAGCATAAACCCAATAAATAATCCAAGCAACAAACTAAACAGAACTGTCTTTTCTCTGTCAGATTACTGTTTTTCTGGTGCATACTTCTGAAAGACCCATACTCATGAATGTTTTATATCAGGAGTTGTTCCCCGCTGGACTAGAGCTACACATAGAAATGAAGTTACTAGGGATCAAGAAAAATGTGAAAAAAGAAAAAAGAAAAATGTGAAAAATGGGGATTTTTAAGAGTGGATAGCAGCAAGAATAATGAAAATAATATTTTATAAAGTTCAACTATAATTCATACAACCTACCTATTGGTTATAGAGAGTTTATATACTCTTTTCCAAAACTTCAGAAAATATGTCACAATATTTCTATGAATAATGAATTATTTGTGGAAATTTATAAAAATTAGAAAATTTATAAATATCAGCTAAACCAAAAAAGAATTTCTGTTTCCTCTAGGTAAGGGAGCTTTATGAAAGTTATTTCTTCTTTTTCAGGAACCATCCTCCTCTTTACTCCTCAGAAATGTATTAACTAAGTAATCCCAGAAATTTTATTATCGAATGATTATAAAATGAAAGTGTGAACATGTGCTTGGCATGTATTGATATGCATATCTTCACGTATTCTTTCACATACACTATCCATACCCTTATTTGTTGAGTATTTCCATGAAGCATGAATCCAGGCAGACAGAATACAAGCAGCATGACTGATAGATATGAAAAGTGTAAGGTAAGGATCTGGTTTCCTGGGACTTAGAGTTTTTGAAGGAGACTGGCACTGATTCCCAAGCAGGGTGTTGGTAGTGTAGCCAACTAAAGAGTCCATCTAAGCAGGTTACAAAGGTGATAGGCCTTGAAAAGAAGTGACCAGAATGTTCTCATGCCTCCCTGGCCTTAGAAACCTTATTTATTCAAAACTATACTCAGGTATCACAGGATTCTCCCACAAAGAAAACAAAGCAGATAATTTAAAAAACACTATTTACTCTAAAAAAATATTTTAAAAGTTGTATAAAGAAGGGAAAGGTAATCCTAGAACACCACTTGGCTCAACTATATACAATATTTACATAGTCACAATAAAGAAGACACTGGATGTGGGTTTTAAGAGAAAAAGAGAGTAAATGAAGGATAATCATTCAGGAAGGAGGAAGTGGGGGAAGCAGGAATACTACTAGCCAAAAGTCTTATCTACCATGATAGGAAGTAAGTAGTATCTAAAATTGATGAATTGATAGGTGTTACTTTAAAATAAATAGATTAATAATCTGTAGTTTATGTATACCATGGAATACTATTCAGCCATAAAAAGTGACTTTTTGTATTCTTTGTTTTGACTTGGAGAGATTGGGAGAACATTTTCACTTTCCTAAGTGTAGCATCACAAAAATGGAAAAGCAAGCATCACATATACTCCATACTAATTTGAAACTTACAGATTAACAACAGTGGGCTCACATGAGAGAAAAACTCAATTAAATTCAATAAGGGGGAAGGGAGTGGTCAGCAGATTCTACCCAGTGAGAACGATGTATGAGTGTATGGCATACTGCCTGGGTGAGTGTATGGACACAGCCACAACTTAGACAACTTGACATTACAGATTCAGACAATGTAACCTAGCTGTATGTACCCTCATATAAATCTGAAATTCTTAAAAACCATGTACATATACATGCAACGTTGATATACTAGTAATTAACATATTAAATTACTTTTTGAATAGTGAAAAAATACAGAGAGAAGAAACAAGTTGACAATATGATTTGATGAGCGAAGGAATAACAAAGAGCTATATTTATGTAAAACTTGGCACTGTTATGCTTGTATTTGCATATACCAGTATAAAATGTTTAAAATGTTTTTTCAAAGAAGGCTTTCCTAAACCTCCCCACCCACCAAAAGCCCTCTGTAGTAACTGTATGAAGTAGATGCCACACGTCCACCTCCCGTCCCAGACCAGGAAAGACTGTCGTATTCCTATCTGTATCCGTGGAATCATGCCCAGTGTCTGACACCTGCTAGTGCTTAGCATGTGTGGGGAAGAATAGGTGAATGGGTTTACTGCAGCATGAACCTGCTGAATGGTTGGGATCCGGGCATGGTATTAAGTCTTTTAGGGATAGGCACCAAAAATGGTGCTTCACCCTATGGCATATGTACTGGAGTTGGCCCTTGTATCATCCTTCCTAAGTCAGCATTTCTAGCTAACCCTCCTCACTTTGTGCTTAGATGACTGACAGTGACCGAACTGGTTTCTCTCTGTGCCTTGGTGCTCTCTATTCTGCCTCAGCCTTGCACCCTGCCCCACACCAACCCTCTCTTCCACCTCACGTTATTCCTGCATCAGGATATGTCTAAACTTTGTAGTACTCTGCTTTTGCACATTCTTCTTTCAAGAATCACACGTACAGCACCACGCCTGTGGCTCAAGGAGTAGAGCACCAGCTCCATATACTAGAGGTGGCTGGTTCAAACCCGGCCCCGGCCAAAACTGCAAAAAAAAAAAAAAGAATCCCACATACATTTTACCCTCCTGAATCCTGATCCTTCAGCTGCCTAGGAACCTGGCCTCATTGGCCCTTCCTGCTGTACTTCCTACTCCTCCCCACTGTTCACCATGCTGCCTTCAGTCCCATCTCATTATTTCCTGACACCCAGTCCTACCTGCTCCTTTCTCCACAAAAGACTATAACATCTTCAGAGCCTGGGAATATAATTTTACTATTGAGATACGTGCACAGAAAATAATCTTTGTGTATTTAATCAGTAATTTACTACTGTGTCTTTTATTTCTCTACTATGGAAACAACCTTAGGTTCACCTCCATGTTAAAATCAACATTTCTAGATAGAAACGGTTTGCCTTTGGAAAATAATTACATAATGGACCTTATATAGACTTTGCTTCTAAACAAATAATGGAAAAGCCTGATATTTTAAAAGAAGCACATATAATTTTAATACTATTTTCTTTTGATTTCAGAAATTCTTTCTATTTTTGTCCTTCAGTCTTAAATATGCCTTAATTTCTTACTGAATGATTATTTTTCCCTTTATTTAACTCAGACCATTTATAGAATTCATTTGATGAAGTATTGAGGGATCTAATTGTTTAATGGGCAGAAATTAGTCCCTATAAGAGTGCTTTGAAAACTGGCAAATACCAGGGATAATTACAAATTCTTTAGAAGAATCTATTTCTGTACAGTAGGTTAATTGGTTATAAGTAGACCACACTGGCCACAATTTAAACCCAGCTTCTAATTTTCGTCCATGCCTTTTTTTTTTTTTTAACAAATATAAGTGGCTAATTGTGATCAAATTAGTCCCCTTGAAGGAACAATTGGCTACTTGTCCCTGATTTTCAAGATTTAAGTGGTCTGACGCACCTGCAATTAGCTCCCCACTAGCATACTGCCTATAGATGACTAACTTTTTTCCCAGAAGTTAATCATGGTCTTATCTCACGATGGGAACTCTGTAGTCAGATGAACAGTGTAGTTTAGATGATTATAATTTCTTTAGAATAATCAAGTTAATTTTTAAGAAAATTTAGTTTGGGGCACTTGATGCAGATAATTGCCTCAACTCTCTAGACTTCCAAGATAGAAAGGGATTTGTTCATTTATGTGATTATGGAAGGTACTTACTCTGCTTTGTATCTCTATTTTAGTGGTGCAATCTGTGCATTGACTTGGTAGCATTTACCAATGAAATATTCAAGGGGGCAGTTTTCCAGTCATTGGATGGAATTATTGTTTCGGCTAACTGTAAACTACGGAAGATATTCACCTTAAAATCAAAGCCTCAAGACACTACAGACAAAGATGGTATGTTCAAATTGCTGTCAAGATTTTTAAATTCTCTGTATGTTTTTTAAATTAGCCATGTGTTCGGGATCGTTGCATGGGTATGTGGTAGCAGTTTGATTTCATGTCTGATGTTAGAAATAAATTTGTCCACAATCATGTTGTTCTGGATCAAAAGTTTTTATTTGCTGTAGCTGAATGTTACAAAAAACGTTTGAAGTTTTCTTCTTATGGTTGTTTTCTTTTTTGTTTATGGTAAAACTTGCTATCTGTATTGGGGTTCTTAGTTGCAAACAACAGAATCTTCTTTTGGAGATTGAAAAAGAAAGTGAATTTATTTTAGGAAATTAGCCAGTTCATAAATTCTGAAGGATATCTAGAGAGTCAGGCTTAGATCCTAAAGTCAAGAAAAAATTCAACCCCTACCACGAGACTTCTCCAGAAATGATCCTCCCATAGCTACTTCCACTGTGCAGAGACTTCATAAGTCACACAAGAGTGCTAGGCTCTAGGTTTCAGAATTTCTGTTTAAGTAGCCCTTCAAAGCAGGACATTTTCTTCCCTGCCACACTCACCCAAAGTAGATTTATTCTTCTTCATATTTCTCTCTACTGAGCAAAGTTTGACATGGCTATTTCTGATTTGTGGAACTGGGGATGCGTGCTGAAAGGAGACTGGCAAAGCAAATGTCTGATTTATGACTAGGGAGGCAGGTATCATTGTGTAGGAAAGTCAACAAATTAAGAAGGCTGTGAGAAAGATGTTGGGCATCCAAAAAGCTCCACCATTTTCTGCTATACTATCTTATTCTGTGTACATTGCATGAATTCATCTGGGAGAAATCATGTTAATTTTCTAGTGATCATGTTAAAATGGAAAAACAGAAGGACTAGAAACATATACATTCTAGAAGGATTAGAAACATATACACTTACTATTCATAATTTGATTTATAAATATATTCTGCAGGTAACAGCCATTGGAATTTATAAGGCACACACCATACTGCTAAGATGGTTTTAAACAACCAAAGGTTTGGAAAGAATACTGATGCTTCCTTTTGATTTTTGTCTTGAGTTTTTGTTTTTTTTTAATCAATCCTAGAAGCCCAGGAAGCAGGGCTGCACATAAGACATCAAGGTGATTTCTTAGAAATTTGTATCTGAACTTTAGATTTGTGCTCCATCTAGATGAGTGAGAAAGCCTTATTTGGCTCACTCTGTGGAACAGGACACTATGCCTATAAATTTCATTTGATAATAAAACATAGCAGTGTATTAATATCTCTCCAAAGAGATCACATGCCACCAAATGTGACTGCTCATCTTATGTACCACTTAAAGACTATCTGAGAAGGTATAAGATTTCATTTTAAAAAATGGCACCCAGCTAATAAAAAGTCTCAAAATTTCTAGAAATATCTGTACACTATACATCAAGTCATAAGAAGTAAATCAGAACCTGATAAATATTTAAAAATAAATGTAAAGAAAAAGTGGATCAGACATGTCAAATTGAATGCATGTTTTAATCTTTTAATCAATCTCTGGTTCTTCTTCCAGCCTCATCAAAATTATAGAAATAAGAAAGGTATAAACTCACCAGGATAAAGAGTATGGGGAAGGGACAACAATAGACAAAAGATGTTTGTAAATTTTGTAACATTAAAGAGTGACTTAGAAGAGCATAGAAAGCTGAAACCTTTGGATTTACATCAGGTTGCCAGTGAGTTTCACAGAGGCTCAAGAATTGACAATGCTAGGTATACTGCCAAGGGAGGGTAAAGACGAAGGTCAAAAATAGAGAGATTGGCTACAATTTTGTTATCAGTTACTATAGAACGATTCCAGCTTCTGGTTCTAACTCCATATACCTAAACCACAGGAGATTTGGTCTCTGGAGTTTCATAAGTACATCAGGTACATGTACTATACCTAATAGGAAAACCATTAGGAAAAAAGAAATAGATATGATACAGAATATATGTATTTTTTTCTCAGAGTTAAAAGATATTGCATCTATGAAATACAAATAATTTGTTTTTGATTTATATCAATAAACATTTTATTAAAGTGTATTAGAAGTATTATTATATTATAAACTTTATATATACATATGGAAACCTGCACAGATCCTAAGTGTGCAGCTTGAAGTATTACCACAAAGTGAACACATTTCTGTAACCACTATGCAGATCAAACATTATGAGCCTCCTTAGAAGACATCTTGCTTATGTCTCCTCCTAATGATGACCTACTCCTTTCTCCTAAAAGGTAACCTCTATCTTAATGTCTAACAGATTAATTTTACCTATTTTTATCTTTTTATAAGTTGAATCACATAGGGCACATTTTTCATATATGCATTCTTTCCTAAAACATTGTGAAATTCACCTATGTTGTTGCACATAACAATAATTTATTGATTTTCAGTACTATGTTATTGTATGGATATACCTCATTTTATTTCTCCTTTGTAGGCTGCTATGAATAATGGTTCTAGAAACATTCTTTTACAGTGCTCCTGGAGCACCTGTATAGGCATTTCTTTGTATATCTAAAAGTTAAATGAAGGCATATACTTCAGAATTCCTAATTTCAATTATTATATTTTTGATTGTAGAATTTCCGTTTGATTCTTCTCTATAATTTCCATTTCTCAGATGAAATTCTTCATATTATTATCAAATTTCTCAAATATATTAATCAAAGTTATCTTAAAGTTAGCTCATAACTCCTATATATGGTTGGATCCCGTGTGGGTCTATTTCTGTTGTCTGTTTATTTTTCTCTTGGCCATGTGCCTTGGTATGTCTGATGAATTTTGAGTGAATGCTAGATATTGGAGATTAAAAACTATAGAGATATTTTGATGTTGTGGATGGTTCTTTCTCTAGAGATAAGAGAATCAGAAAAGAAAAAAAGACAGTAATAGTAATAGAATATATAACCCCAAAAGACTGAAAATAGGATGTAAATGTTAACAACTTTGGAAAATAGTTCAAGGAATTCACCATCAGAGTAATAGGATTCCAAGAAGAGAAACTAGAGAAAACAGAACTAGAAGATGATTTTCCAAACTTTAAGGCCGGATATTTTCAGATTGACATAGCTCATTACATACCCAGAATAATTAATGGAAAAGATTTACCATTGTGAAATTTAAAAACAGGAAAGATAAAGAGAAGACCCTGGAAGCTTCTAGAATTTTAAAAAATATGATTTTTTTTATTTTCTTAAATAACTTTTCATTTAAATTTAGTGTATTACTTCTCACTCTCATCCCCACTTTTGTTTTAGTCTTAGTTGTGCATTTGTGTATTTTAAATAGTCACCACCAGTCCTTTTGCTGAGGTTTCTCCAGTCATCACTTCATCACTTGATTTCCTCTAATAAGTCCTCAAAAAAGGGTTAAAGGTTTCATAATTCTCTAAATTCTGTAAGTAGATTTTTCTGTATACTTGATATTTAAAGGTCAGCTTGGTGCTGCATATAAAATACTTGCTTCTCACTTCCTTTCTGTGAGCTCTTAAGAAGTGCTATTCCATTGTCACCTTGTTTTATAGGTTGGTTTTGAAATGACTGATGCCAGTCTAATTATTTTTGCATTTGTAAGTTATTTATTTATTTTTGGCTTGGAGGCTTTGAGAGTTTCATATTTATCTTTGAAATCTAATAGTTTTACTAAGATATATCTTGGGGTTTTATCCTTCTGGATAGATTTTTCTTGGTACTCAGTGGTCACTTTGAATGTGTAGGCATAAATCTTTTTTCCACTCTATATAGTTATCTTGGGCTATAGTTTTTAATATTAGCTCTGTCTCATTATTCTATTTTTCTTTTCAGGGACTCTGCTAACACAAAAATTATTGCTTTTTTTGCCTGTCTTCCACGTCCACTACTTTTCTTCTGGCCCTTTTCTCTTCATCTAGGAGAAAAGCAAAGGGAGACTCTGCTCAAAAAAGTAAAATCCTTAAAAAAAAAAAGCAAAGGAAATTTCTAGAACTAAAGTCAAAGGAATTCAAAGGATGATGCTTAGGCAGATCATCTAGAAAGCAGGCACTCCAGAGTTCAGCATAAAAATGGAAGCTTTCAGGAGGAAAGTCTCTGGAAAAATAATGTATCTGATAAAGTAAGATATGTCTGAACGTGAAGAATAAAGCTGATTTTGCAGTGGTAATAGAGAGTTTAGAAGAATTAATGTTCAGAAGGTAGGAAACTGATGACAAGAAGCAATGATCAACTTTGAGGAAAACAAAAAGTTGCACAAGAAAAGAAATGTAATTTGATCATATGACTCAGATGTGCACAACTCTCTCTTTTGAGCAGTTTTATGTTCACAGCAAAATTAAGTGGACAGTATGTAGAGTTTTCATATGTCTCCTGTCTCCACACATGCACAAGTCTCCCCCTCTGTGCACATCCACATCCAAAAAGTGTTACATTTGTTACACTTGATAAACCTGTGTGGAGACATCATTATCACCCAAAGTACATAGTTTACATTAGAGTTTATTCTTGGTACTGTATATTCTTTGGGTTCTATTTTACCTGTTTTTCTGTAGTATTATTTCAGAAGAGTTCCACTGTCCTTAAAGTTCCCAGGTTCCAACTATTTATTTCACTTCTTCCCCTAGCCTTTGGCAAAAACTGATCTTTTTATTGTCTCCAAAGTTTTGCCTTTTCAAAATGTCATATAGTCAGAGTAATACAGTATATAGCTTTTTCAGATTGGCCTCTATCACTTAGAAATGTGCATTTAAAGTTTCTCAAAGTCTTTTCCTGGCATCATATCTCAATTCTTTTTAGTGCTGAATAATAATTTAACTGAATTCATGTACCACAGTTTATTTATCCATTCAACTATTGAAGGACATCTTAGGTGCTTCCAGGCCTTCATGATTATGAGTAAACCTGCTATGAACACTGTTGTGTAGGTTTTTTTTTTTATGTAAACATAAGTTTCAACTTATTTGGGTATGCCAAGGAGCACAATTGGTGAATTACATGATAATAACATGT